CTTGATGAGTTTTTGTGTGGACGTGTTCCCATCACTCACTAGCACAGGCTTTGCCTGGCTTTTTGAGGGTCCTCATGGCTACTTTCCAGCGGTCGCCCTGTAATAAACGTGTCAGAAGGACATCTTTCAAATTTGGGTATAGAACTTGGCGCCTCGTATGGTACAGGATCAACCATGGTGCTATACAGAGTTGTCCGTTCGCACAGAGACTTCACAGGAGGGAAATGCCCATCCTGGCTTCGGTCCACATAGTGGCCAGCAGCAGCTGTCTGGCCTGTCACTGTGTGTGTGTGTGTTGGGGGGGGTCATCTCACTGTGTAGTCCTGGCCGTCCTGGAATTCATTAGGTAGACCAGGATGGCCTCAAACTCACAGAGATTCACCTATCTCTGCCTCCCAAGTGCTGGGATCAAAGGCATGTGTCACACCGTACCCAGCTTATAAGATTTTTTAAAAACATCTTTAACCAAAAACCAAAGTCAAAAAGAGAAACCAGTGGCTAATATGCCATGAGTTCATTAATAAATACTTGATTTAAAATAAGTATTTTCAGAGTTATGTTTTAGTTTTCTACCAGTAGACACGAACTCACAGTGTGTGGGTCCCCCACGGCTTGGGCTGTTCTCACACAGGCCCCCTGCCCACTGCGTCCTTTGTGGGTCAGTCCTGTCCTGAACGTGATTTCCGGCTTAGCTGGCTGGCTGCTGCCCTGCAGCTGGGTGTCCAGCTTGTCTGACCCAGCCTGGGCTCCACCTCTCTTCTATGAGGTGGAGGTGGTGAGAGGAATGCCCCCGGGTGATGTTTATCACAGATGGAGAGGAGGCTTGTGGCGCCCAAGTCCCCTAGGCTCCTCGACTCTTCATCCCTAAGACGCCTCAAGCTTGTGTAGCAGTCTTTGCCCAGACGGCTGCTGGCCCAGTTGCCTTGTAGCCTTGGATGCCTCTTTTCTTTGGGTTTCTACCTAATTAATGCTTCAGGGGATAATTTAAATTGTTAGAGATGGGAGTGCAGGAGAGGATGCTATCGGGGGAGAGGGTTGGGGATGATGAGTGGCGCCAGGTGACCTGGGCACAGCACTATCCACAGGTGCGGTGGTGGAGCGGGCACTAGGGGCACTGAGGTCTACTCCCTGGGTGCCTGCCATCTGTGGGAACGCGAGGGAGGGTAGGAGATGACTTCAGACACCCATCTAGAATGTGGGGTACACTAGCACAGTTGGGTCAGGGCATGCAGGATGGGGCACTTCTGGGGGCATCTGGCCTCAGGTGAAGGCTAAGGTTCTCTTTGTACTTAGGTGATGCAGCACTTTGTAGGGCCGGGCTGTCTGCTGAATCCCTTGTAAATGCATTAACCCCTTTTGCTGGAAAGCAGTTGCCTATGTGGATGGGTGCCCGCTTACGTTGTCTGCATTACTATGTAGATTGGCTCCGCTTAACTTGTCTGCGGTACTTTTTTATTGCTGTGATCATACACCATGACCAAGGCAACTTCTAAAAGAGGTTGTTTGGGGCTTGCAGTTTCAGAGGGTTAGGGAGCCTGGCAGCAGGCAGGCGGGCGGGCAGGCATGGTGCCGGAGCAGCAGCTGAGAGCTCACCTCCTGATCTACCACCACAAGGCAGAGAGGTAACTTGTGCTTTTGAAACCTCAGAGCCCCCAACCCCGTGACACACCTCCTCATCCTTCCCAAACAGTTTCACCAGCTGGGGACCAAGTGTTCAAATATGTGAGCCTTTGGGGCCATTCTCGTTCAAACCACCCCATGGTCGTTCTAGGAAGTGTGGCTGAGTACAGAGAGCTGCCTCACCCCCTTTGAAACTGGTTACCAGCAAAGACTTGTTCTCTGCAAACATTACAGAACATGGCACTGGCATAGGGTTGGTGACCAGCAGAAGGGTCACATGGCATACAGGTGTGGCTTCTTCCTGTCCTTCCTTTTTTTTTTTTTTTTTTTTTTTGGTTTTTCGAGACAGCGTTTCTCTGTACCTTTGGAGCCTGTCCTGGAACTAGCTCTTGTAGTCCAGGCTGGCCTCGAACTCACAGAGATCCGCCTGCCTCTGCCTCCAAGTGCCGGGATTAAAGGCGTGTACCACCACCGCTCGGCTTCTTCTTGCCCTTTCATTAGAATGTTTTCGCTTCTCTTACTTGAGGTGTACTGGCTTCTCCCTTAATATACAAGTGATTTCCTCATCTTTAAAACCTCCCAGCACCGGAAAGGTGGCTCCATGGCTAAGAGTGCTTGTTGCTCTTGCAGAGGCCCCAGGGTCTGTTCCCAGCTAACTCCAGTTCCGTGCTAACACCCTCTTCTGTTTACCACGTATACCCCTCCCCCCACACAAATAATAAAAATAAGTTTTTTTTTTTTTAAAGTTCTTTATGATTCTTTATAACTGTAATCCCCTCCTTCCGGGCTGCAGTTCTCAACCTCAGATGTTTGTAGCGGCTTGGTCTGTCTCCTCCATTGTTCAGACTCCTGTGCAGATTCCTTAAGGTCAGCTGTGCCTCACGTGGGAGTGCTGTGCGTCTCTGGAACATGCCTTTCATTTGACCCTTCTAATTACCCCTAAGACCTACACAGCTTGCTTCCTAATTAGCCTTTTAAAAACCTGAGGCCAGGCCGTGTGTGTGTGTGTGTGTGTGTGTGTGTGTGTGTGTGTGCAGGCTCCACTTGCACTTACAAAGAACGTTCTCTTGTGTCTCTGCCCACTTTCACTCCCATCCTTCCTCAGCAGTGGATCTGTGTGGACTTCTAACATCCCGAGGCGTCGGTGGCTCTGAGTCACGACCATAGCCTTTGTCAGCCGCCCCTTGGAGCACTCCAGTAAAGTAGGGCACTGTGTAAGAATCCCCTTTGAATGGATTTTTCTACTATCGCTGACAGGGCCTCTCTATGTAGCCCTGGCTGTCCTGCATTGTCTTTATGTAGACCAGGGTTCTTTGAATCCGCAGAGATTCGCCTGCCTCTGCTTCCTGGGCACTGGGTTAAAAGTGTGCGCCACCTCACTCTTGAATCTTGAATGAAAACAGTACACATATTTGTGAAAGCCTTGAAGATGAGACCACCCAGAAGGGCAGCAGGAACTCTGCTGGAAAGCCCAGTACCCACTGGATGGAACTGGTTTTCTGTCCCTTCCATATGCTTGCCACCTGACTTTAAAAGTGGGCCATGGCCGACTTTTCACCCATAGAGTACTCTTGGCAGAGGTTTCGAATGTTCAGGGTTGGCAAGTTCAGGTGCTGGAGAGCCACAAGGCCTGGGGGCCTGTGGCAGAGGGTCTCCTGGGGTACTCTGTCAGGGTCTGCTTCTGAGCGACTTGCAGGGTGAACCTAAGAGACCCCCTGCCTCCCAGGGCTCCTGCAGAGTTGACACCTGTCCTGTCCTGGGCCTGCTAGCCACGTCTCTTATGAGAAATAGAAAGGAGAGGCAGCACACAGGGAAGCCATCTTGGGGGACTGTTTTCCATGAGCACATTGAAGGAGGGGGGATCCAGTCCTGGTGGTGGTGAGAGAGGTCATCTGGGTTAATGCTGGGATATTGCTGTGATGGGTCAGACTTTGGGGCAGTTATCTGGCCCAGCCTACCACTTACCACTGTGAGGGACTCACGGGACTTTTCCAGAGCCCCACACTGATCCGCAGTGCCATCCCGAAAGCAGAGCCAGGGCTTGTGTCTGGTCTGTGGAGGCTGTGTCTCCTTAACGATAGTGCGCCAGCATGATGGATTATTATGCATCCGTGAGGATTCGATTATCTAGATAATGTGGGTCCTTGGACATGTTTAACCACCCAGTAGCGTTGAGAGCAACTGTAAACATGGTCAGAGGTGAGCATGCCAAAACCAAACGTGCACACCTTTAATCCCAGCACTCAGGAGGCAGAACCAAATGCACTTGTATTTAAGTGTTGGGGTTCTAGGTAGTGTGTGAATTTCGTGTTGATAAGCACTGTTTTTGAATGAACCTTTCCTTTTGGATAATGATATATAAGGATAGCATTGTTTCTTATTTAGTTTCTCCTATGGTCAACAATCAGTGTATTTTCATGTGTTTTGGTTTTTTGTTTTGTTTTGTTTTCCTACTATTGAAGCAGAGTTGTGGGAAAGCCCAGCGTGTGGTTTCTGTAGGAAAGGCGTTTCCCAGAGCTAGGTGTGTGTGGACATGCAGGCATGGCGGTGCACACCATGATCCTACGATCCCAGCACCTGGAGGCTGAGGCAGAAGGATTGCTGTGAGTTCCAGGCAAGCCTGAACTGTAGGATGAGAAGCTCTGTCTTAAAACCCCCAACAGGCCAGAGGGAGAGGGTCATTTAGAGTTGTTTTGTTACTCATTCATGATCAGCTGCATCCAAACGTGGCTGCTCTGTGCTTGGCTTGTCCTCTAGTTTAAAGATGTGGCTCCTGTCTAAGAGAAAGATCCAGGCTCTCACCTCAGGGCCGCTCCTCCCTTGCTTTGCTAGGCAAAGGGCTATGTAGCGAGAATGGCGTCTAGGAGCAGCTGTCAGACGGCTGCTCTGTTTTTACACACAGAAACACCTTTGCGAGCTGTCAGGCCTTGCCTCGCCCTTAAAGTTATGCCCTGGTTCGGGTTTTCTACACAAGTCCTTGTCACGGCTGAGGCCTCGTGGCGACAGTCTGAGATGATCAGACTAACATGTCTCCTCCTGGTTCTAAAAGTGTTCGGGCTTTATGTTCTGTTCCGTGGTATGTGCATTTTAGTATTTCAAAGCTTAAATTGCCGCGGTGGGGAGGGGGAGTTTTTCTTCTAGAATTCCATAGAATCTTTTATCTGCTTCTGGGGCCTTGAATGATCAGCACAGCCATCGGGGAGGATAGCTTTAACTTACCACATTTTCCTGCCGACTTACTTTGTGACTCTGCTCAGATGGTGCCCATGCCAGGAGTGGTGGGGCTGGGGTGGAGCGGGGCGGAGGTGTATTCTCCTGCACGGCAAGTGAAGCGGGAAAAATGTCTTGAACCTTCCTTTCCCCTTGTGGTCTCATTGCAGGAAGAGAGGTCGGTAAGAGACCGGAACCTTCTCCAGGTTCAAGACCGTGAGCAGCCCATTCAGTGGAAGGTCCAGTTTAACCTGGGCAACAGCAGCCACCCCAGCAACCAGTGCCGAAACTCTGTTCAAGGGAAGGAATTCCTCACGGACGAGCTGGGTACGACCTCCCTTCCCTGCTCTCAAGGCCCTGCAACTCTGGATAGCCTTGCCTCACAACGCTTTGTCCTTCCCGCTCCTCTGTGTCTTCCATACCATTCTCTCTGTCCCAGGCTCCCTGCAGCATCTGGGAAGCTTGGGCTGAGGAGCCAAACTCCTAGCAGGTTCTCTTTGCTTGCCGCTTCAGCCTTGGCCTCAGGCCCAGGCACAGGGGTTCCTCATCTTGTTTCTCGTGCACACACCACGTGGTGTTTGCGGTGGCCACAGGCTAACCTGTAGGAGATGTTTTTCTCCTTTCGCCATGTGGATCCCAGGGATTGAACACAGGCCGTCAGCCTGTTAGCAGCCTCCTTTACTGGCAGAGCCATCTTGCTGGTCTGTAAGTCTTCCTAGCAGAAAAGAGAAATTACACACCAGTCTGTTACTACTCCAAGAAGATGCAGTTAGCCGACAGCAAATGGGGAGGAGGCAGGGGCTCAGCTTGGAGGTCAGGGCTTGTTTCTACAGACTCAGAAAACAGGAAATTGTAGTACAGGTGGCAATTGGTCATTTTATTGTCCTGTAGCTACAAAAACAGTGTTTTCCTTCTAGTTAATTTAGATCAGGCAGACTCATGGATTCCTTTAGTTAAAACATCCAATATTCAGCTTCTCAACCCCTAAAAATCCCACAGAGGCCACAGGTTTTATTTTGCCTTTACAAATATGGGAAACGTGGTTTTAATAGAACAAAACAAAAACAACTTACAGCTGTTGATGCTGTTTAGTAACAAGATGCCACCGTGTCGCTAGGGTAACAGCGCCGTTAAACCAGATAGCTAATTAGAGTCAAAAACTTTTCAGAAGCTGGAAGTTAATTTTCTAGGCAAGATCAACACATTTGCTGGCCCTGGTCTCACAGGACTTGGCGGAAATATTATCTGCAGAGCTCATCGGCACCGCAGTGTGTGTGTGGACTGAAACATCACAATGCCCCGTATGGTTTGTGTAGGGGTTTTTTGTTTTTGTTTTTTCAACTAAAAATAAAGAAGCGCTGGAGAGATGGGTTCGTGGTCAAGAGCGCTGAGTGCCTTTGCAAGAGGGCCTGCCCGGGTTTGAGTCTCAGCACCCACGCAAGGCAGCTCACTAACTGCCTGTGACTTCAACTCCCAGGGATCCAGCGCCCTCTTCTGGCCTCGGTGGGAATCTGCACTCACACATGTGCACACACATATCGTTAAAAATTACAGGGGGAGAGGTGTGGGTAAGCCTGCTCTCCTCAGAAGTTAGACCTGGTCACTGGGAGGTGAGCACCGGAGTTGAGTGCTGGGAGTTGGCAGTGGGAAGAAAAGGACCTGTAGCTTAGAGAAGGAAAGGGCAGGCGGTGTCAACAGGTTGCTCTTGGGGTCCACGGTATTGTCCATCTCCATAATACAGAGCTGCTGTATTGTTATCATCTGGGGTGGAATCTCTCTGGGAATTCCGTTCAGAACCCTTGTCAACAGCATGAGCGGGGGCAGCTGGGGAGGAAGCATCTCCTAGCACTTATCTCTTCGCTCAGGAGACACTGTAGCAGAAACAAAACAGAGCCAGCTCCCAGGTGGTGGGAGTTGTTCGCTCCTGGTCTCCCCAGTGTGGAGTGAGGGCCCCCTAGTGTCCCCTCGGTGTCAGTGTTCTGCTACTCTGCCCTCTCCTGTGTTTTCCAGAGCAGTTCTGAAAACAAGTTCTCCTCCACCAGCCTCATTCTCTGGAGACAGAGCTGGGGCACTCAGATGGGCTGATGCTGGGGACAGCTGCTGCGTACGCATACCTGAGGGGCCCTGCACACACCTGAGGACCACACATATACCTGAGGGACCCTGCACACACCCGAGGACCACACACACATACCTGAGGGGCCCTGCACACACCTGAGGGCCACACATGCATACCTGAGGGCCCACACGAATACATGAGGGCCCTACACACACACACCAGAGGGTCCCTTCCCACACCTGAAGACCCACACATATACTTGAGGGGCCCTGCACACACCTGAGGGCCAGCATGCATACCTGAGGGGCTCTGCACACACCCGAGGGCCATACACGCATACCTGAGGGCCTCTGTACACACCCGAGGGCCACACACGCATACCTGAGGGGCTCTGCACATACCTGAGGGCCACACACGCATACCTGAGGGGCCCTGCACACACCTGAGTGCTAGCACGCATACCTGAAGGCCCACATGAATATAGGAGGGCCCTACACACACACCAGAGGGCCCCTTCCCACACCTGAAGACCCACACACACACCAGAGGGCCCCTTCCCACACCTGAAGACCCACACACATACCCGAGGGGCCCTGCACATACCTGAGGGCCCCCACATACACACCAGAAAGTTCCTGCACACACCTGAGGGCCAACATGCATACCTTAAGGGCCCTACCACCACAAACACACACCAGAGGGCTCCTGAACACACCTGAAGGACTACACACATACCCAAGAGTCCCTGTACAGACCTGAGGGCCCACATGCATACCTGAGAGCCCCTGCATAGACCTCGGGGCTAACATACATACCTGAGGGCCCCTGCATACACTTGAAAGTCCGCATGCATGCCTGAAGGCCCCTGCACACACCTGAGGCCCCCACAATACACACCAGAGGGCCCACACACATACTTGTTCCCAAAGGGTACAAGGAGTTGTCTACCTAGATGCTCTGAATAGTAAAGCGGCCCCAGAGCGGAGGCCTGGCTGACACTGGACGTGCTTATCTGTGTGATGGGTTTTCTCAGCTGAGGAGTGAATTGGGTTTTTCTCTCCCTCAAGGGTTTGAGAGCATCATCCCCAGTTCTCGGGGGGTGGCTGTGTCCCTCCCCCACCATGTTTGTGTACACTGGAAGCAGAGTTATGAAGGTGAACTGTGACTTCCTGTTTTAACAGTCCCTTCAAGTGACCACAGCAGCAAGCATGGAGAAGCCATCAAAAGCTGTGTGCTTGCTTTTTAAATCCACAAAGTACTCGTTTTTTATGAATGGGTGCCTTGTTTCTGTTTTAGACTTTTTATTTATATATTTTGTGTATATGAGTGCTCTATCTGCACGTACACCTTCATGCCAGAAGAGGGCATCAGATCCCACTAGAGATGGTTGTGAGCCACCATATGGTTGCTGGAAATCGAACTCAGACCTCTTGGAAGAGTACTCAGTGCTCTTAACCGCTGGGCCATCTTCTCCAGCCCTATCTTAGTCTCTTTAAAAGAGGCTGAGGTGAAAGATTGCTTGCTTATGTTAGCACCCAGCTGCGTGGGCGTGGCATGGCGCTGTGATGAGCTCACACTTATGCAGTAGACTGGAAACTGGTTGAATGCAGTGACAGTGTGGATCTAGTTAGTGGTGACCGAGGAGCTCAACTGCCTAGGTAAAACCAGCCCTAGTGCTCAACCGTGTCCCTGGCTTTCAGGCTATGTCTGTGAGAGGAAGAACCTGCTGGCGAATGGCTGCTGCGATGTCAAGGTCCCCAGCACGAAGCAGTACTGCTGTGAAGGGTGCCTGGTCAGTGGTTGCTGTGAAGTCTATGAGTACTGTGTCTCCTGCTGTCTGCAGCCCAGCAAGGTAGGGACTCCAGCTTCCCGCCGCTTTGTCTTCCAAGAGGAGCTTTATAGGTACACTGGCCTCTCCTGAGAGTGGAGCTGGTCCCTGGCTTATGGTTCCTTCGCAGAGAGGACCATGCTATTGCTAACCAGGGATCTGGTGAATGAGAGAATCCCTCCGGGCAGGCTGGTTTGGCCTGCCGTTACTACCAGTACTTAATACCTTGTTTCCATAGCAACCTCTGCTGGAACGCTTCCTCAACCGGGCAGCTGTGGCCTTCCAGAACCTCTTCATGGCAGTTGAAGACCACTTCGAACTGTGCTTGGCTAAGTGCAGGACTTCATCGCAGGTCAGACGTGGTGCTGGCTCTCGCTGGGGGAGGTGGGAGGGAGGCAGAGCTGGAGAACAGAGCCAGGGTGGAAAGGGTCTTTGTTGGTACCATGTTCTGCTGCTTTGGGGGGTGCAGGATGAGACATTTAAGTGCAGTAGGCGGTCATTGAGAGGAGGTAGTCACTTGTCCTGAGGCAGATCTGTGGCTTCCTTCAGGATCCCAGGGGTAGGAGGTGGGAATTTAAAGGCGCATGGATCATATCTGAGGCCTGTAAGGCTCTTGGTGAGCGCTCTGCTCACTTGCCATGCCCTGCAACCCGTGAGGTGCCCTGGAAGGCTTCTGCCCCCGCCTTTGTTTATTTCCCCTCTTACGTTTATTCTGGCCTTGGGGAGGCACATGCATACACGCCGGGACAGCTTTTATATGTCAGTTCTCTCCATACACCATGTGGGTTTTGAGGCCCAAACTCAGGTCATCAGCCTTGGCAGCGAGCACCTTTCCATGCGGTGCCATCTTGCTGGCCCAAGTTCCTGGCCTCTGTGGCTGGGCACTTGTCATAGCTCTTTGTAAGGTGTCTCTTCCACAAGCACACTCTGCTGGGCTAGCCGGCTCGCGCCTGTCTCTGGCCCTTTGTAAGCTTTGGGTTTGTGTGGTAACTCCCTTTTGCACCTCTAGTTCACTGTGAGAATGTCTGGGCCAGAATAGAAGGAACTCTGGGATGTGAAATTCCACTGCTCTTGACGGGGGCCGGGCTTCCCAGGTCGATGGGTGTAAGGGAAGTGTGAGAGGGGCTCAGCCGACTCGCTCGCTCTTCCTGGCTAGTGCTGGAAAAAGGGACTGATATTATTATAGCAGCTTCCTGTAGCCAACAAAGCGGAAGGTACTTCCTATTGTGCAAGGAGAGACCGTTCTCAATGGCCACTTGGTTTGCGTGCCCAGAGACTGGGCTTCCAGTCTGCTAAGTGCAATTAATAAAGTGCATAGCTTTGGTAGAGGCTGATTAATGAGCTCTAGAGCAGCCAAACCTCAAATGGCTCAGACGACAAGAAAAGTTTGGGAAATCTGTCATCGGGCAGTGTGGGGGGATTGTCTGGGCTCGACCTCACTCTCTGTGCCCAGCCAGAGAGGCTCTTGGAGGGTGCTTGGCTTGCACACAGGCCCTTAGTGCATGACGGCCATTTGAAGTGGCGTCTCTCAAGTCCCTTGCAGGCCTCCTCAACAGGGACCGGATATTTCTGCCCACAGTCAGGTGCCGATCCCACTGCATCTCCATCTGTTTCAGATCGTTTTGTTCTTTGCATACTTACTGTCGTGTGTGTGTGTGTGTGTGTGTGTGTGTGTGTGTGTGTCTGTGCCACCACATGTACGTGGAGGTCAGAGGACAGCCTGTAGAGTTTGCTTCTCATTATTCCGTGTGGGTTCTGGGGATCAAACTGAGGTCTTCTCAGGCTTGGAGGCAAGCGCACTGTGTTAACCCCTGAACCGTCTCACCTTGTCCTTGTTTTGGGGTTTGAGACAGGGTCTCATGTAGCTAGGCTGGCCTCAAGTTCACTGTACTGCTGAGAATGACCTTGAGTTTCTTTTCCTCCTGGCTCCCATGTTGGCATCACGAGTGTGCACCACACCACCCATTTTTTTTTTTAAATATTTATTTATTTATTATGTATACAATATTCTGTCTGTGTGTATGCCTGCAGGCCAGAAGAGGGCACCAGACCTCATTACAGATGGTTGTGAGCTACCATGTGGTTGCTGGGAATTGAACTCAGGACCTTTGGAAGAGCAGGCAACGCACCACCCATTTTTATGAGGTGCTGGGATCAATCTCAGGGCTTCATGCATATTAGGCAAGCACTCTGCCAGGCTGCGCCATACCCTAGACCCCATTTCAGATGGATTGAGAAGCAGTCTCAAAATGCCCAGCTTGCAGCCAGGTTGTTCAAAAACTCCCTGGTAGATAGAAGAAGAAAAGACACAGTAGCAGCGTCTTGTCTGTTTTTGTGGCCCTCAGCGCTAAGAATCCTACTTTATTCCAGAAAGTTCCTCAAAACCCCAAGGCATGCTGGTTTTGAGGTGGAGTGGGCGGGGAGTGTGTGGCAGTCACTGCAGCTGACCCTCTCTGTCCTTCTCCCGTCTTCCTTCGCCAACAGAGCGTGCAACATGAGAACACGTACCGTGACCCCATAGCCAAGTACTGCTATGGAGAGAGCCCACCCGTACTCTTCCCCGCATGAGGCCTGTTGGAGAGACACCCAGAACCAGCCAGGTCCACGTGAGATGATGAAGGAGGGAGCCAAGGAGGACCCTTGGCTTTGAGCATGTCCTGTGGCATCCAGTGTCTCTGTCTCCCTCACCTCCAGCTGCAGCAGACAGAGCTGTTCTGTAGAGCAGGCCCGGTGAGGCCCCGGCACCTTGCCTGGCTGTGGCCATGGGACGGCTGCAGGGCCAGGTGCTTGATCCCGTGTTGTAGTTTCTTAATGACTTCTCAGTGGGGGAAGTCACACTGTTTTTTGCAGGACACCTTTGCCCGTGCAGTTGGATCCACTCAAGGAGGTGACTGCTCTACGTGGTCCCTCACTGTCACAGTGACGTTGTTGCCGCACCAGACCCAAGTGTGTCTCCAGGAGTGTGGGTGCACGGACTTATTTTTGGTTGTTTTAACACCTGGCCAGCAGGCCTTGTATCTATAGCCCAACATCTAGGGGTGTGTAGAGCCTCAGGGAGGTGCTGGTACCCACTGAGCCTGCGTAGAGCTGCCCTGGTATGCTCATATCCCTGCAATGGTGGTCGGAGGCCTGAATCCCCCGATGACTCTCCCGGTGGAATTTGCTGTCACTGTACCCCTGTTGAAACCCCTCAGCCTTGGGGCAGGGGAGCCTTTCCCTTGTCTGTCACAGAAGCCGATGGGGACCTGGTGAATGCGGTCTACGGCACTCTTTCATTCTTACCGCTCGCTCTCTGCTCCTGGCTGTGTGCCAGAGGAGAGCTTGTTAAGTTCCTACTCCAGCCTAAAGTTTCACATCTGCTCTCAGTGGGAGACGTATGCGGTAGCCATGCCGTAGAGCATCCCAAAGGCCGGCCAGTGTTCAGTACTTGCAGGGTGGGCAGTTGTCACCGGTAACTGAAACTTGGGTTTCAAGCATGGGGCAAGACCCCTCCTTCTCGACTCTCCTGTCTTTTTCTCCAGTCTCCTGTAACACACACGGCTCCCGGAGACTCTTCACTGACCCTTACAGAGGCCACAGCCAGCATTTGTGGTTTGGGCTCAGGTTGCCCTGGTGTCAGGCATGAGTCTCCAGGGTTTCTCTTAGCAGCTTCATAAAGCCGTGTCTCCCAACTGTTTGCCTTCCTGATGGAATTTCCTTCAGCTTCCTCCTGCTTCGCCTTCCTGCTCACCTCTGTGGAAGAAAGGACAAGCTGATGGGAATTGTTCTCGTTTGGGGTCGCCATGCTGGGATCAGATTCAGGACTTTGTGTGTGATTAGTAAACTTTCTGCTACTGAGCCCTGGCCCTGGCCAGGGAATTGATTTTTACTGTTAGATCCCAGTGATTCTGTTCCATTTGCTCTGGACTTCTCAGTGTGTGGATTCAAAGTTCACGAAAGAACTCGGTGCACCTGCACATTCTGGTGCATTCTGGAATGTTCTGGCATGTTCTCACGTGTTCTGGCTTGCTTGCTCATTTTTTCTGGTAACTGGGAGATATATAATTTTTTTAAGACAGGGTCTCCCATTGCCCAGGCTGACATCCAGCTTCGTATGTGTTTGATACCAACCTTAAACTCCTGATGCCCTCTGTACCTGCCAGGTGCTGGGGTTATAGGTGCATGCCAGCTGCATGGCTCATCAGCCTTGTAATGCCAGTTTACCCTTGGTCAGCGTTGGAGTTGGTCAGTCACTCCCTTGGGTTCACTTTCACTCTCAAGAGTGGCAACACGGGGTTAATGTAAACATCATGCCCGTTGCCAGCTCTCTCTGACCTGGCACTGGAAAGGCATGTGTGTGCAGTCCTTGAGTTTATAGACCCCGAACAGTTGAGATCAAGATTCCAGTTTACTTGTGTTTCACTTGGCAGATGAGGAAATAACTTACCCTCCTAAGTCCCTACCAGGATAGAATAATCAAAACCCACAGAAGAACTTCACCTCGAATCCCCCTCTCACATGTCCTCTGGGGCACCTCCACATCATCTCCCCTGAGAACGGACGGCTTCAGTTATCCCAGACAGGAGAAAGCGGTGTCTGCGTCCATGCTGAGTCAGTAATGCAGAGGTCACTTTTGATTGACTGTGGAATGTGGGTTTTGTGTTTTAATCACCTTGGGGAACACACACACACACACACATACACACACACACACAGAGCTGGGGAAGTCTAGGGAGGGGGCTGGGTGAGAAAAGCCGCAGGTAGGAGTGGTATTGAGGAAGCCGGGAGGCCAGTGTTCACGTTGGCATGCTAATAGGCACCATAGATTTGTCCTCAGTGGTTTTTTTTTTTGACCTGATACTAATGATAAAATAATTACCTAAAAATCACACAGCCTAGAGATAACCACCAGCTATTTTCGACTTCTCTGTGACTTTCCAGGCAGAACAAACAAAAACCCCAGGGCGTTCCTCCCCCGTGGAAACACTGCCTGTGAGTCTGTTGTCTGCAGGCCCGTGTGATACCCATTGAGGACATCTGGTCCCTTTCATGGGGGTGGCCCGCTCTTACTGAGCACGATTGTTAGCTCAACTCCTGCAGCCACTTCTCCACAGGGGTTGGAGGTGTCTGTCTGTCCATCCCTCTGTCCGTTTCATAAGCTGTTTTCAGTGTTCCAGTTTGTATTTATTATTATTTTTTTATTTTTAAGATCATGAGCCTGTGTGTACCAGCTCAGACTAAATAATGAGTTCTGGGTTGCAAAGAGGATTTTTTTTTTAACTTAAGATGTTTAAGGGGCAGTTGAATTAGCCCAGTGGACCTGGGTTCGGTTGCCAGCGCCCACACAGGGGACTCACAGCTGATGGGATGGGATGACCTCTTCTGTCACAGGTACCCTAATATGTGGCATGTGTTTGCACTACAAACACACAAAAGTAATGTAATAAAGATAAATCTTTTAAAAACTAAATCACATTTAATCATTGGGGGGTACACATGTGCCATGGTTTAGGTCGGAGGAAAAGTTTTGGAAGTTGGTACGTTTATCCACCATGTGGGCATGGAGCTCAAGGTGTCTGTCTTGGTGGCCTTGGCCCACGGAGCCATCTTGCTGGTCCTGCCTGAGTCTGTGTCCATAAATTAAATGATAAAATACACAAGTGCTATTGATTGTGTTTATTAAGTCACAGTGAGCGGAACCCCACATGGTTTGATTGGCCATTTATTTTGTCTTTCTTCCCATTGGTTACTACAGAACACTTTGAAATGAAGCCTTAAGTAATTCTCCCTCTTCCTATCCATCTCCTTTTCCTCCTTTCCCCTCTTTTTCCTTTGAGACCTGGTATCTCTGTCCCATGCTAGCCTCACACTCTCCATCCTCCACCCTTAGCCTCTGGTATTTAAACCTCAGCTGAGCGTCTCGCTTAACTTGCCCTTCTGCGACACTTTCAAGCAATTAGCTCACGTTCACAAACCCATCTTTCTAATAGATTTCGGGCCATGGGTTTGTAACAGGGCGGGGGGAGCAGCCCTTCCCCCCACTCCCTCAGGAGACATTTGAAAGTGTCTAGTCTCCTTATAGCTGGAATGGGGAAGGTACCACTTGGGGGAGGGGGCTCAGTGATGCTACTCCCTCCCTGGCCCACAGCGCCTCAGACAGTCACACCATGTAGGCTGGCAGTGCTGAGCTAACTGAGCCCAGCTCTGGGTCACAGCTGTGCCCAAGGCGCTTCCCTACCCTGGAGTTCTACCAAGCTGAGTGCTGATTAAATTACCTGTTTTCCCCACAGGACGTGCTCACAGCAGTGCATTCCCGCCTCAAGGCACAGTGTGGTTACCCTGCACTGTGTCCTTAGCTCACTCTCCACCCAGCAGACCCTTGTCTGCAGAATGAACTGGAGGTGTGTGACCTGATGGTAGAACGGGGCTGGGGGTAGGACCGGGACTGTCCCTGCAGATTCTGTTAGACCTGGCATAGTGTGAGTGCAAGACAAGAATGATCACAATCCAAAGGGGAGCTACCTAGGGCAGCTTTCTCCCCTTTGTCACCAAGGTGTCGCCTTCCAGGTTCTTCCTGGGCATTTGTGACACGGTTCATCTTGGTGTGACTGCAGCTCTGGCTGCTAACGTCACTGGTTTCTCTCAGTCTGCAGCATCCCCCATCCAGACGTGAAGGTGATTTGGTCTGCCACTGAGCTGTGAGCAGGGTGGTTAGATCTGTGCCACCAACTCTGGACTCTCAGCTGAGCCTCAGCAGCCCTCCAAAGACATACAACCTAGGGTTGTTCCCATCGAGAGTCCAGAACTAAGACCCAAAGACACAGCCTTAAATACTGCAAAGAAACAGATCCAGCAGCCTGTGGTGATAGCACGGGACTGTAATCCACTCACTGGGGAGGCTGAGGCAGGGGGATTGTGCATTCGAGCTCAGCCTGGGTTTTACAGGATGAGACCCTGACACCAAATATATAAGCAACCACAGAATTGAGCTGCCAGTAAAAATAGGAGAAGCAGTTGTTCAGATGTCTCCATGTGCATGTCAATTGAATCTCTCAGCACCCTGCATCCCGTGGGTGAAAGGGATCAAACAGCAGAACTAGAAACAGGTTGTTTTGTGTGGTGTGGAATGTAAGCCTGCAGTTGGAAAACACACAGATAGCCTGCAGTGCAGGCACGTGTGGTGTGGGATGAATGGGAAAGAAGTCTGTGTTACGGACAACGAGTTCTAGTCCACTGGCCATGCCTGTTCCAAGAAGGTGTGTGTGTGTCTGTGTGTGTGCATGTGTGTACATGAGCATCACGCGAATGCGTTTGTCCTGTCCTGTGTGGACAGATCTATTGGGTTGTAGGTGTTGAGCCAGGTATGGTGGCACATGGTTTAATTGCCGGTACTCAGGAGGCTGGGGGAGGAGAAATCCAAGTTCAAGAATAGCTTGGACTTCATAGTGACGCTTGTCTGAAACACACACAAAATCGTTTTTAAAGTTTAATAAAACACTTCCTTGATCAGATGTTGGCAATTGGAATAAATGTGATAATCTATGTGTTGCTCTAGGCATGTCCCATGTACTGGCCATGTGTGTCTGTGTGTGTGCATGTGTTTGTACACGGTGTGTGAGAAGAGGTGGCCTGAAGTCTGAACAGCACCCTGACCCACCTCACAGGAGCCCAGGCATTTGTGAACTTGGGTAAACTTCTCATTGTCATTGTCTGCTGGAGTGATTGCCAACACATATACTGATCCTAGATCCTGATTCTGACCACCCAGAAACCAAACATGACCAGAGCCGTGTCTCTTCGTTGCCCTCTGTAGACTGCAATTCCCACAGGGTAGGTGGACACCAGCCATCCAGACCCCAGTGGTCCTCAAAACAATCCTTCCTCAAGGCATCCTGAAGACAGATCATCAAACCTGGCCAAACATTTTCTCCATTGTCGACTTCTGGTTTCCCTGGGCACCATCTGCTTGTCATCTGTGCTGTCCATGCATCTGTGGAGACAGCTGCCTTTTGGCCGCGATGCCCAGGGCTGTGTGCGTGCAGATTCCCTTCGTGCAGCCCAGAAATACTCAGAGGCCTTAAGATGGCCAGAGCACATCATGTTTCCTGAGCAGTGACTTCACTGGGTATCAGCACAAGGCTGTCTCTTACAAGGTAGAAACAAGCCTTCAAAATTACATTGAGCCAGAGTAGGTTCCTGGTTCCCAGAGGACAGCCACAGCTGCAGTGGGAAGTTTGCCACATCGTGTGTCTAAATGTATGTTTTATATTTGTGCATAGATAGGAATGGACTCCCACTACCTGCTCTTTTACAGTGCTGTGTTCTGTCAGGTTGACTTTATCCAGGTAGTCAACTCCTCCCACGCAGAGGGTCCAACCTGGAGAAGTGAAACCCGTGAGAGGCTACAGTCCTTTATAATGGCCTCGTGTCCGTTCTTCACCCTTTCTCCTTGTCTAAGTTTACCCAATGGGGAGAGAAGTCTTTGTCTTTCACAGACAGATTCCAGGCATTTCCCAAGGCCAGAGCTAAGCTGCATCCAGTTCTGGAAAAATCACAAAAAGCAGGCATCAAAAATAAAAAGTGGAAGCCGGGCGTTCGTGGTGCACGCCTTTAATCCCAGCACTCGGGAGGCAGAGGCAGGTGGATCTCTGTGAGTTCGAGGCCAGCCTGGTCTACAAGAGCTAGTTCCAGGACAGGCTCCAAAGCTACAGAGAAACCCTATCTCGAAAAACTAAAAATAAATAAATGAATAAAAATAAAAAGTGGGGCTAGTGAGATCGCTAAGCATTAAAAGGACTTGTTGCTCCCCCAGAGGACAGCGGTTGCTCCCCATCTGTAACTCCACTGGGACCCAGCTCCTCTTCTGGCCTGTGTGCACCTTGTATAGTTGTGGTGCATCTACATACATGTAGGCAAAACATCATACAAATAAAATTGATTCTTTAAAAAATTAAAAATAAGATTTAAAAAGGCCCAGGGAAGGCTCTGTGGACCATCGTCTTCCTGAAAAGGCCGATCCGTGTTCGGGACAGCCCATATCCTACCCCAGCAGCAAGAGCCTCATCCACAGGGTAGGTTTTCTTTTTTAAAGGGTCAAGGCCTTCAGTATGTTCTTTAGGGTGCTTAGAGATGTGCTGTCTCCCCTCCCACACGCTAAACACAAATGTTCCTACTGGGTGTGGATCTGGACAGCTTTCCAGGTTCCTTGGGCTCTGTCCATGACATCCAAATCTGCCCGGGCTTTTGCCTGCCGTCTGTGCTTAGCACTGACCCAAGACAAATAGTCTCGAGGCGGCTCTCCACTTGGCTCTGCTGATTTATTTGACGTAAATAGGCTCGCTGACCTGATTTAGCATCGTGGGGGACCACAGAGTGAATCAGGCTGCAGCCAGCGCAGCCCAGTGCTGGTGGCAAGCATGCTGACAGTTCCTGACTACGCCACTTGGGGGCACCAGCTGCATGGTTTTTCCATCCCCAGTGTGAACCCGTTGTTGACTGTGGCTCAGGCTTGCCCAAGATCCCCCTGGAAACAATGACTGTGGGCAGAGAGCCAGCTGATGGGACAGCAGATCAGGACTCCTTCTTGGGCCTGGCATTTTGGGGATCAGGACCCTCAGGGATGCGAAAGCAGATCTGCAGCTGACACTGTGCTACTGTGCCCTGCCACCCCCTTCTCAGTCTCTGCCCGACCCCAGGACAAAATGTAGGTGAATCTTCTTGGTCGTACTTGGGTGGCAGCAAACAGGAATGCGAGGGGACCATTCACACCACCCCTCCTTTGCGTCCTCATAGGTAGAGGAGAATTCCTGTGCTCTGATTCTGGTTCTTCTTGGCTCAAGGTCATGCATACCATCTGCCTTATAGAAATTCCAGGCCAGGCGTCTCTGGGGGGCACATCATGAGCATTCTCCTGTGACATAGTGCTCAAAAGGCTGCTTATGCGCTCACCTGACAGCCAACCCCCTGAGCCAGGCAGGCCTTCCCATCTCTGTCTCATGGATACAAATGCAGAGGGGTTTAGAGCTGTTCCCTGGCTTCAGCCAAGACGATACCCTCTACTGTGAAGAGAACTTCCTGTCTTTGCTGCAGGGGCAATAGGGGTCCTCCGTGGAGCCCAGGAGGGTAGCAGGTTAAGTATTTGTCCTGAAATTTGTTCTTTGGCCCTGGGATCAAATCTATTATTTAAGCAAAAGTTTCCACATTAAAAAAAAAAGACTTGTTTATATTATTTTTAATGTTGTGTATGTGGGTTATGGTATTCATGAATGCAGGTACCCACGGAGGCCGCAGGCGTTGGAGCCCCTGGAGCTGGAGTTCCAGGCAGGTACCCACGGAGGCCGCAGGCGTTGGAGCCCCTGGAGCTGGAGTTCCAGGCAGGTACCCACGGAGGCCGCAGGCGTTGGGGCCCCTGGAGCTGGAGTTCCAGGCAGGTGCAAACCTCCTGAAGTAGTGCTAGAAATCAAACTTGGGTCCTAGAAAGAGCAGTACAGGCTCTAAACCACTGACCCACCTCTCCAGGCTCCTCTTCTGTCTTCTGTACGCTGGTCACTGCCAGGAAGGAACTTGGGAGAATGGATTAGAAGGGCAACTTAGCATTTTAGGGTAGTTCTGACAAGTGGACCACACCTTAGTCCTGTGGTTCTCACTGAGTGCTGAGTTGTGACTCCCAAAAGCCGTAGGTTGCAGCCTTATCCCTGTCCTGTAGAATGTGGCCCTTTGGAGGGCGGGCCTTT